TAAGCTGTCAGATGTGCGTATTGAGAAATAAAGAATGCCCCAGGTTTCAGCCCAGGTCAGACTTTGAGACTGTCAGTTCACACTGTGTTAGGTCCTGGAGTCCTGTCTCTCCTGGCTTTCTTGGCTGCATCAGAAGCAAGTCCTTAGCTCTCAATATTCTTCTGGCATCTAGAGGCCGTAATGCCACCATGACAACAAACATTTGTACTTTAGTAACATGAAGAAAGAACTACTTGACATGACTCTAGAATTGGATAGAACATGGGAATGCATTTGTCTCTCTCATGCTGAATTAAACACTGTCTTAGGAAGACATTTGTGGGTAAAGGAGATGTTGCAGGTGTGTTGGCTTTTTAACATTTATTGGATGAAGAAAATCAACTAACATAACAACCGGCATTGAAAGTGCTGCTAAAATAAGAATTGAAAGCAAGAGGTACTGAGGTCCTGCTATGGTGCAGATGAACTCACAATGCTGTGTGCACTGCTCAGCATCTGGCATGTAAAAGTTGTGAATCCCATTCATTCCCATGGGAAAATAGAAATTTCTAGAACTTTTTATACCCAAACTGAGATCAGTTCCCCATTTAAGCAAGAACAGCAGCCTTTCTGTAAAAAGAAAAGTTTTTCAATGTGTCAGTGTTTTAAAAAGAAAATGCACATGTGTGTATGTATGTATGTATCTATTATCTAGTGAAATTTGTACAACTGCAAAGACTACAGTATGAAAAGTAGGGTTTTCTTCTGCTCTAAGGCCCGTTTCCCTATTCAGGCAACCATCATGAGCAGTTTCTTATGTAACTGTTGGAAATATTCCACCAACACATAAACACTACAAATTGCTTATTAAGTAAAAGGATGTTATATGGTACATATGATTCTGTACCGTTCTTTAAAATACATCACAGAGCCGGGCATGGTGGCACATGCCTTTAATTCCAGCACTCTGGAGGCAGAGGCAGGTGGATCTCTATGAGTTCAAGGCCATCCTGGTCTACAATAGTGAGTTCCAGGCCAACTAGGGCTACAGGGAGACCCTGTCTCAAAACAACAACAACAACAACAACAACAAATATATATATATATATATTAGAAACAACTTCATCTAAGTACTTCATTATTTTATTAACTACACAGCATTGCTTGAACACACTTATTATTATAAATTGTACTGCAGCTATGATGTTTGTCCCTATATTATCAAGCATATGTGAGCATACATGTTATGTCATATATATTATACATATGCTGTGAACATGTATGTGTGTTCCCAGGTCTTCACATTGAAAATTCTGATATGTTTTGACTGAAATAAATTAAATAATGGGGAAGAAATAAGAAATTAGCATATAAATCAGGGCAATAACAATTGCATTATTATTTACCATCTGATAGGTAACTTTTTATTGCACATTTAATTTCTTATACCACATTGAGGCAGGTCTCATTAGTCTCATTGCTGTTAGTAATCATTGGAGAAAAATAGGGTTTGAATCCACCCAAGAAGCTTGACTCTGGAGACTTTGCACCTCTTTATAGCTTCCCAGTGATTCTCTTACTACTGTGTTAGTGACAAAGCATTTATTAGATACCTACTATATGCTAAATAACTGGCATGTATTATTTGTAACCTTTGGCCTAGTATTATGTTATTGTTGTTTAACAGTCCTTTTGAGGTTTAACAACTTTCCCAAAGTCTCAGAGATAATAAGTTAGGTTCTAAGAACAGAATAGAGATAGGACATCGGACTCTTGAGACTAAGGCCCTGCAGAGAAGGGAATTCAGGCATTCACTCTTACGTCTAGCAAGCTGGAAGGCAGAAATGAAATTAATATACATGTGAAACATAATTAAGCATATTCAAATGATCAGAGGATTAGATGGGAGGGGCTGTCCCAAGAGTCAATGGGAGAGAATTCAGGGCATACCAGAAAGCATCTGTAGCAGAGTCAGGCCTAGTGGCTTGTGTGGATCCCAGGTGGATCCTCATCCCTGGAGAATATTTCCAAATCTGGAGCATTCCTTGTCCTCACCACCTCTTCAACCTTTAAAAAAGATTCCACACTTGTGAGTTGTGTTTATATAATCAACAACCTATTGTGACTTGCAGCACTAGATGCCTCTGCTCTGAGTTGAGATTGTGGCCACAGGAAGCAGAAATCAGCAAGTTCCACATTGGGCTATGGGAGTGAGGTAAAGGAGGGGCTTCTCAGACAATGTGTGTGTTCTAGTTCTGCATCTCTAGTGTATTCGACATATTTCTGGAATTCTCATCTTCATGGGCATGACAGGCAGCCACAAGAAGTTAAAACTGTAATCACCTTCCTGATACACACAGATCTTAAAATACCACAATAAGTCTTGGAGGCAAAATTATAATTTGTAACTGAAATGTGTATTGGAATTTTTGTTTGTTTTTTGGCTATTGCTGCTATTGCTGTTTTACTATCTTGATCATGTGTTTGACAAGTTCTGCTAGTTTAAAACAATGGGTTTTCCTAGTTTTAAAATACCTTATTTAACTCAACAGATTTGGAGTATTGATTTATAGAAAACCTGAAAACAAATGAGAATTTTTCATATGGTGACTATAATAAAAGTAGGAGCTAAGTTATATAATGAGTATTTCATGCAGGTCAGTTTTATATGTTTTATCTGCCTTGACACAAAGCTCCTACCAAGTGGACAACCTGATCATTATTCCCAGTTTATAGTGGAGAGCTTTCATTTTGCTGTTTAAACAATTACAATGATTAAAAAAAAGAAGACAGTCCTTTCAAATCCTGTGTAACATGCTTGGTTTTCTGCATTTACCAGTTATACATCTATGAATCAACCACAAAATAGTCAGGAAAAAATGACATCAAAAGTAGACCTGTGTAGACTTTTAAATATGATATTTGCCTTATATTAATTATCATAGATAATCTAGAAATGATCCAAAGTATATAGGAGATTGCGTGTAGGATAAATGCAAACACTGCCATTTTTCTTTAAGAGGCTTGACCATCCTCAGAGTTTGGCACTCAAGAGACATCTTGGAAACCCTCCTCCACCAAGAATATTGAGGGATGTCTGCATTTCCTATTCTGGCATTGCTCCTTCCAAAGTTTGTTCAGATGTATTTTATAATCAACATGTGAACAATTTCATGTTCTGCTACTTTTGCTCAATTTCGTCATGAGCAGTTAGGCTTCAGTTTTCTTCTCTCTCAAGTCATGACTACACATGAGCAAATCCCCAAAGCAAAATGTAAATCCATTTTGTTTTCTATTTTTAGAAACATAAATTTCTTTTCGTTTTTCTCTTACGGATTCTACTGCAATGGAAAACCTTGTGTATATAGAATATTTTATTTTCTTTGAATTGCCTGAGAGAAAGAAAACTCTTTTAGAGTCTGAGTCAAGATCTCTTAGACTAATTGTAACTTGCTGAGTTAGACTCATTTCATTGCTGAAGCACTTATTTGGGCTGCTTAGGAGAAAAGTACATTTTGACTCTTTCTTTGGGGAATGAAGTCCTTCCACCATTTTAAAGATACATTTTTAAATAATCATTAATATATGCTAATCAATGCAAGACTTAAAGAGTGGATTTTTGCATCATTAAGATGATATGCCCATTCTAAGTATTTGTTCTTTATCAACAACTGTGTACTATGGCCTAGTATGGTGGTCAAAGCTATCGTAGTGAATGTGACAGAAAGAGCTTATTTCCAAACAGTGTACTGAAAGGGGCCATCAAAGATACCTTGATATTAAGCCACAACAAACTCCTGTCCTCTGACATTTCTGACTTCTTTGTTCTTTTGCTTTTATGGAACGTGACTCATTTTACAAAAAGAAAAAGGTCAGGCAGTCAAGGATAACAAGCATATTACTCTCAGAAAGGATAAATCTAGATCAATGTAGATAAAAATATATAATTTTCAAAAATTTCTGAAACCATTTTTGTCCTTTCTTATCTAATTCTGGTAGAATTTTAAAAATCTGTTTTTTTCTCTCATTCTCACTGGCTATGCTTAAGTTGCCTAAAATAATGTGGGCTGGAGAGATGGCTCAGTGGTTAAGAACACTAAGTGTTCTTGCAGAAGACCCAGGTTCGAATCCCAGCACCTACACGGCAGCTAACAACTGTCTATAACTCCAGTTCTAGGGGATCTGACAGCCTCTTCTGTCTTCCGCGGGCATTGCACGACATGGGTGCACTTACCTACATGCAGGCAATACATGCATACACATAAAATAAAAATAATAAAATATTTTTTAAATGCACTTCTTTCCGTGAGTTTTTAGGATAAATAAACCAAATGTGGGACCTTTGAACTCTGTTGTAGAAATGTTCTCAGATGCAAAAGGAGTGGGCAGAGATGACATTATGTCAGAACGCTGTGTCTACAGAGTTGATCTCTGTTGTTACTCAGCTGTGAAGTCAAATTCTCCAGGCAACACTCTACTTAGACACATTCCTAAGGCAGAGCAGAGGTGAAACAGAAAACAGAAGGGCATCTGAAAAAGGAGCTGCGATAGCTAGGCTTATTTTAAAGCTATCTAAATTTTAAAGCTATCTAATGTAAGAAATTTTTCTTACATCTTGTTGCCTTAACATTGGGGTTCAAGGTCTCTCTATTGTAACTTTGCACACAGACTGTTGTCTGAACTCAAAACCCTAGGAGCTACATGTCTGAGATCTAAATGTATTCTCAGTCTCAAATCAATCTTGTCACTCCTCGGAAAGCAATGCAAGATAATAAGTCTTATTCACCTGATTGCTTTCCTGCTCCGAGACAGCTAGTGACGCGTGTCTTCCTGATAACCAGGAGTTTCAGATCTGAGGCAGGGATAAAGGGAAGCCGGGAGCTCTCAGAATCTAAATTTGTCAGTCAATGGCTGAGGAGAGGGTCAGCAGGGATAGAATCTGTGACATGTGTGAGAAAGGCACAAAATTTATCTACTCTGGTTGCAATGATTAGATGTCTCTTTGTCTGGCTTCCTTACAGTGGGTGACTGATTGTACCCGCCAGCTGCCTAATATCATAATTAACGAAGTTGTTACTACGTCTGCAAAGTTTAATCAAAAATTTTACCAGGGATATGATGGCATTGCCACAAAGATCACAAGGGACGTGGAGTCGACTTCTGCTCAAGGTGAAGTGGCGAGGCTGTGTAGCCAAGATGAGAAACTGCAAACTTGGTCAGCCAAAGGTATGTTTCTTTATCATTCCAGAGCCCAGGTTTTCTTGTTCAGATTTTTGTTTGGTGGTTGGTGGAACCCTTCATAGTTCATGACTGAACTGCTTCCTTAAAAGATCTATATGATTTTCTGAGTACATTCTCCGAAACCCTTGGGATTTTATTTTTCTGAAATCTGAAAATTCAGAAACATAATCAAATAGCTTTTGATACTGAGGATGGATTACAGAATACTACTTGACCTTTTCTATCTAGTTTATCATTTCAGAATAGCTCTTTGGTAACAAATATCAATTGAATATTTATATCATCTAGTGTTGTGTTTTTTTTTTCCTTAACAATGTAAAAACCGTTGCTTTGCTTTCTTTTATGTGCCAAACCAGTTATGAGAGATGAAAGAAAAGGCATAGTTACAAAATACGTGGAGGGTCTATTCTAGTTTGAAGAGGTGCTCAAATTGGAGTGGTGGGAGTGGGGGATTGCCATTTTGACTTAGCTCATACAAAGTAACCGACCTTTGTTAGTTTTAGTATGAGAGATAGAGAAATGACGTGCTATTCTCCGTCCTCTGTCTACCAGTGATTGTTCTACCTGTATTTTATTTTCACTGTGATTTTCTTGACTTGATTGAATATTCAAGCTCTGAGGTGTTTCTTGAAATATAGCCTTCACATATTGCTAATTAATGAGTGTGAATATTGATGAGGAGAGCCATGTGTCCCTGTGAATATGCCTGTGGACCTCATCTGAGTGCAGAGGAAGAAAGGGTCTTGAGAATACGCAAAACGCACGTTTGGGTTATTTATGCTGTGTCACACCACCGCAGACTATCCTGGTGATGGATTTGCAATATAATTGGGGATGTACATCAAAGCTCTTTCACTTTTTCTGATCCAAGCCAGGATGCCATGGAAAATACCAATAATTTGCCTTTTGCCCATTATTTATCTTTTGTATTGATTCCAACACTTTTAAAACAAATGAGCTCATAGCATGTGTATTTTAAGCAAGCCCATTTCAACTTTCTTATGGTTTGATGAGAAATCAGATGTGAAGCCTTAGGAGGCTTCCTGTTCTCTTTCCAGCGATTTAAAATTCTGACAATCAAATTTATAGTCTCAAATTAAAGAAATAATCTCCTCATACAATTATGAGTTTTGAAGCATTTAGGTATCCAGATAATTTTAAACAGTAGTTATGAAAATTCTGATGTAATTTGACTTAAAACGTCTTAAGCCTTCACTAAATGTAATGACGCCAATCAAAAAAGCTGAAGGCAGAGATTTTGTTACATTCTGAGCATCATTTTCACAGGAGAATGTTACTCTCATAATAGAGTATTTTTCTTTGAATCTCTTCCACCCTATTCAGAACTTAGCAGGCACTCAATACATATCTCAAAATACATTTATCCAATAAATGAGTTAATGAATTTAAGTTTTTCTGCTGTTATTCAAGTGGGATTAACATTTGCTTCCTCCAAATCAATAGTTTTTGTACCCAGTAAGCTTCGGACAAATAGCACGTTGCACACAATGTGGAGGACGAAGTTCATATAACAACACATTTTAACATAAACCTTCATAATATATTGCGTACTTGACATTCAGTGGTGTAAGAGCTCTAATGAGTCTCAAAGATGCCCAAGGAAAAGGACAGAAAAGTCATTTATAGCTGATAGTCTGCTGTTGTTGTTGTTGTTGTTTAAATGCAAACAGGATTATCTCCTGCAGTATGTAGAAATGAACTCTTGTCAGAGTTTCAAAAGAATTTAATATTTTTACTAAAATGTACTAATGTTAGGAGTTAGAAGATTAGCGATACATAATGAATAAAATGCATTCTTTCACATGGAAATAAGAATAGAATAAATGTCCTGTAGGTGATTGGGCCCATAGCAATTTTATTGAAGATTAAAGTTTGATTGACCTTTGTTAAGGTGATTAACCTTTCTGAAATTAAAAGCTCGATCTGAATTAGTCTGTCTAATTTAAATGCAAACATTGAGCAAGTCCTGTGACATTCAAATAATAATAATAATATAACCCTCATATTTTAATATTCCTTTTTTGCATGTCGGAATGATACACTGCCCTGGGAAGAAGCAGAGCTTTGGCAAGAGCATTCCCCTGGCAGAGAACCCAGAAATGATCCATATGTAATGTGGGCACATGGGGGAAAAGACCCAGGTGCCGTCCCTCTGCTACAAAACCTGAAACCACTACCCTGACCCAGGCAGAGTGTGAAGCCCAGCTCTGCACAGCTGCAACATGTACTCTTCATAGAAAAGAAAGCAGGCATGCCTTAATGACAGGAACATCTCTGTCCTAGCCCAAGGCAGCAACTTGCACTGCACATGTTCATATGATGTTCCTGAAAACATATGCTTTCTAGTACAGGTTCTTATTAAGCAATTCTGAAAGTTGATTTCCAATGCCTGGAATTTCATTCCCATGATCTCTGATAGTGTATGGCGGTATTCAGATTCTTTTTATAAAATTAAGCTCAAAAACATTATAAAAGAAGGAAACTCCATTTCTTTTAGAGTTTCATAAAATGATTTAGTTTTGTTTTCCTTTGTTAAATTTTGTGGAAGCTTTTGGGAAAAGTTCACGTATTCATATGGTTTATAACTGTTTCTATTTTTCATATCACATTAATTTTTTTTACTAACTCAGTGAATTTTTTTAGTGTAGGAGCCTACACACAGTGAATATGTCTTCCTTTTATGTGTCTGTGAACTATTAAAATGATAATAAAGGTTCGCTTCATACCACATACAATTCATTTCTCTCTTTTCATCAAAGAATTCACTGTGAATGTGTCAAGGTACAAAAGTCCAAGGTATTATAGTAAAAAATTAAGAAGCCTAAGGGATTATCATTTATTTTTGCCCAAACTTTTCATGTATACTTTTAACATCCTTCTGAAAGATAGGCTTCTGTAGTAGGTCTGTGAAAAAGTCAAAGATGAAATACTGTGACAGAGGGCCTGAGATGGTTCTGCTGGCAGACTGACTGTGGCATCCTCCAGAGTCAGATAATCCCTTGAAGCATAGATGAATAACATGTTAACTAAGATCTGTTTGTTTTAAGGATAATTTCCTAATTCTTGGTCCTCAGATGAGGGTTAATCACAAATTGCAAATGCATTGTTCTTTATTAGTTCTGATAAGCTGTCAATCATTAACCTGAGCTTTGGCATACTGAATTGCCAAACTTTTAGAAATTCATTCATTCCTTGCTAGTAGTTGTTTATTAAAGACAATTCTTACTAAAAAAGAACTGTGACTGCTGTATGAAATCCCTAAAATGCACACTATTCATTCTTTGGATGTAATTCAAAAATCTATAGTTAGAATAATCTTGTTTGACTTCTTACAAGAACAAGTGAAGATTATTTGTAGCAAGAAATCTGTTGCAAATACATCAACATGAAACCTAAGGTGTCAAAGTACTTTGATACCTTTCCCTACATTGTTATTTATTATCAGCAATTTTTTACATATAATCAGATCTGACATGGTGAGATTCACAAAATTATAGGAAAGAAAAAAAATGTTGGTGCAAAAGCAAAGAAAAATAGAACTTTATTTTGTTAGGTCCCAAATCCAATCATTTGTTTTGTTCAATATGCTTTGAAGACATTTCTATTTGTGTGTGTCTGATGTCTTTGTTTTTTTCTTGATTAAGTTCCCTCCTAATGTACCTACTCCCAGCCCTGACATTCACTCTTACAGTTGTGAAATAACATCCTTTGCCATTAATAAGCCAAGATTAATCCATCTGATATTTTCATGGACTCCATATTTTAGTTGGATTCCTTCTATTTGAAAGAATAGACTTTACTAAATGGTCTATTCATTGTGTATTGTCCTTTGCTACGTATTGTGTCAGCAACTTGATTTCACAAACATTTAGAGCACACCTACCATGAGTATTTTTATTTCACTGAACAAAAGAAAAACAGCAAACAGCAGACTTCAGGATTTTCAGAACTTTCTTTCCATAGTAAAAAAGTAATCACCCATGAATTTTTCAAGATGTTATTCTCTTTAATAGACAATAATTTTGGAGAAAAAAATAATTGGCTAACACTAGTCAAATAATTATTTCTTATAATTTGTTTGATAAAATCTTTTTAAAAAAATACTCAAGAAATAATAAATACAATGCCAACCTTCCAGTTTAATGGGAACTTTAATTGCCTAATACTAGCTTTCAAGTGACATTGACTAATGTGGTGTGGTGGGCATGGTGTGTTTGATATATTCTGCGCAATTTGTACTATAACTATCCCACTAATTCTACACATTGCAGTAATCTTATGGTAGTTTTAAAAACTATTTTATTATTTTTATTTTATGTGTATGAGTGTATTGCCTGCATGCATGTTAGTGGCCTCATGTCATACAGTTCTGCGGAGGTCAGAAGAGGGCTTCGGATTCCCCTGGAACTGGAGTTAAGGATGGTTTGTAGCCACCATGTGGGTGCTGGGAATCGAACCTTGGTCCTCTGCAAGAGTAGTCAGTGCTCTTAACTGCTGAGCCATTTCTCCAGGCCCAGTTTTATGGTATTTTTAAGGGCATTCATTCATTTCAGAACCCAAGAGAATACCAAAGTCTGTGGATGCTGAAGTTCTTTATATTAGATGGTGTTGTATTTGCATACCACCTAGTCTTATACTCCTGAACACTTTAAATCATCTCTAGGTTGCATATGATACCTCTACGTTGTAAATTTTATGTGAATAGCTGTTGTGCCATATAATGAACAATGACAAGAAAAGTCTGTGTATGCTTAGTACAGATTCAATTTGTTGGTATTTTCA